AGCAAAATTATAAGACAAATGTTTACCTATATGGACTTTAATAAATGTTTCATTTAAACACATTTTAATCAGTCTAACTAGTTTCATCGGTACCCCAAACTCTATGAGGATATTGTAAAATACTTCCCTCCTAACTGAATTGTTGGCTTTCTTGAAGTCTGGAAATAGATTATGTACTGTCTCATTGTACTCCCACTTTTCCTCTAGTATCTGACGAATGCGCCGGTCACGGTAGCCGAGTGGTCTAAGGCATGTACTGCCTTCGCTCGCTTGGAAGCCTGGATCATGGGTTCAAATCCCACATGAAGCATTGACGTTTTGTATGTGTATGTTTTTTATTCTGTTTGCATTGTCCTGTACTTAAGTAGAGGTTTTGCAACGAGCTGATCCCTCATCCAAGGAGCCCTACCGTCTGTAAAATGACCATGAAAATGAAAATAAGAGGTCAGGGCCGAAGGGGGCTGTGGAGCCGGTGAAAAAAAAAATCTGGCAAATGCAAAAGAATTGATCAGTAGTTAATCTCTTATGTCGAAACCCACATTGATGATCTCCAACAATTTCATCTGTATGTGGACTTAACATTGAGAGTAGAATATTGGATAAAATTCTGTATGAAGTTGACAGGAATGATATCCTACAATAATTACTACACTCACTTTTATCACCCTTCTGGTGAACTGGTATAACAGACTCCTTCCATCTATCACGCAAGTCTTCCTTATTCCAAATTGAATCGATTGGCTTATGGATCTTAGAAGTAATATTTCACGTCCTGCCTGAATTTGATGACTACCTGGCAATTTATACCTTTCGTTCACGTTTTCCATTCATTTAACTTGAAACTTCGCAGAATTTCATGCAATGTTGTATATACATTACTTCAAATATTTAGTAAACTATTTCGCTTCACATTTAAAACGTGAAACGTGTTTCAAAACAGCATAAACTTACTTTAAACCGGAATATACAGATACACTACACTACCTGTTGAAAATTTGTCATCCAGTAACTATTCTCTGCAGTGATCCTTTAGTCCTCGTGGTGTTTTGCAGTAATGTGTTTTCCAGGTAGATGAAGAATAATGCTGCAGTCAATGTATACATGTAACAAGTCTAATCGTTATTAACAATGCGTTTCAGTCAGTCCACTACGGTCCACTATGTTCTTCGCTTTCACTGATTATTTTCACTTTTTTCACGCCATTTTTCTTTCAGGTTTTCGCTCGCAATTCTTTCATCTCTCGTGATTTTCACCAGTTCCATTTGACAGAACTCGCTAGCTCAGTGGTACCTGCAAACTAATTAAGTTTCATTTTCATTCAACTTTCGTCCTTCTGTACACCCTCCATCCCTTCTCTAGTGCACTTGTCAGGCTTGTCAGCCTTAAGCCGTGTTAACTATTCCATTGCTTAGCGCGAAAATACACGAGGTCGATGTCGTGAATTATTCGCAGCTGTGTTGGATTACGTAAGGCAGTAGTTAGGCTTTAAACCGACTGAGCTAAGGCTGTAGCTGTTGTTACCCCGTTGTAGCGGTCAGATGGACGGACAATATACGCGTTCATATTCCCAAACACGAACCTTTATATACTTGAAGAAAGCAGTCTTCTGGGATTTGGCACCGTGTATATGTGGTGTTAACCGACGTTTCGGAGGAACTTATCGCCTCCATCTTCAGGGTAGAAGGAAAAATATGAGAAATCCGCAAGCGAAGAGACCGTGAGAACCGGTAAAAGGGGAGTGGTGTTAGAAATATACACAGCTATGTGTGAGCAGTAAAGGAAGGGGTGAAGGGAAAGTCTACAAGTGAAATCAGTAGTGTCGGCGCCGGGGGGGGGGGGAAGGGGGGGGGCAAAGCAGGTTCTTTGTGGTTGGGGGGGAGAGA